CTAAACCAGCCTGTATAAATAGGACAGGCCACTGCACATGGTGGAAATGCCTCCTTGCTTTAAAGAATGCTTTATGTATGTTTCATTGGAGAGTTTTAATGTCAAGTGGTCAGAATTCTGGCGCTAAATCATCTGCGAATTGTACTGGGTTGGTACTAGTTTATTTTGTTTGTATTATAAACTGTATTTCTGTGCTAGAAAATGCAAATTTCCTAATGATTAAACCTTTATTCCCTATCATTTTTAATAGGTTGAATATGGCAGCTATCTCCGGACCTTTTTGTTTTTGCCTTTTGAAATTTGAATTTTTAGTGGATTAGTTGAGTCAAGGTGGATTGAACCCTGCTTTTGCTGTCATGTGCTACTATTCCAGGAGGTGGTATTCCTGGTGGGGTGAGCTCAGCCACAGCAGCGGCAGCAGCAGGAGTGAGTGGTTTGCCTCAGAAGCAGCCAGCAATGCCAGCAGGGGGCGACCGCTATGCTGCTTTAGCTGAGCTTGATACTGTCTTCAGCTCCTCAGCACCTGCCACCAGTGTTTACAACACCATCAGCACCTCACAAGGGTGAGACACTGAACACACCTGCTATAGTGGGTTCCAAAAGTCTAAATCTCCAACCAAATAGAGTGTAAAGCTACATCATCTACAAACATACAGGATCCACACTCCTATTACACAGAATTGTTCAGTTATCTCAGTTCCTCTATTCAGCTTATGTGTTGACTTTGTTTAACTGCAGGGGGATGTTTGGCCCAGAGACTGTGGTGTCAACAGCACAAGCACAGCAGGCCCTGCCAGGCATGGCTCAGTGTTTTGGAGGTGAGTGAACCTTTGTGTTCTGATGATCTATGCTAATTGTGTTCCCAAATTCAGTCATGATTTAGAAACTCTAAAGTAGTGTTAGAAACAAGGGAGAACCCCAGGGTGAGATACAGTGTACTATAGGTAATTAAAGTGATTTTGAGTTTGGCAGTTGACAACTTTTGTAACCTTGTGGGATCTTGAGGACTTTCCTGGTTGAGATGTCAATAAGCGGGTTGCAGCTCATCAATCTTTCACACACGGCACCACCACAGACTGTCTAAAATGCACACATGAAGGCACATTGTAGCAGAGCTCAACCACCATATGCTTAAGTTCTGTATTTTTTAGGATAAACACTCCTACAGCATTAGTTATTGCTTTGGCACAGTGTGGATCTGCAGTAAGATGCTGCCAATCTGTTTTTGTCTTGTTCCGCTAATTGTCACATTTTGGTGATGCTGTCATAAATTACTTTCTTGAAGCGTTTCCACTGACATACCCAGCTTGAGTTAAACAATGTTTAAATATTAGTTTGACACTAATCGCTGCCTATTGAGCTTGACTGACCCGGCTAAGCCTACTAGCATGCTACAGCTGATAGAAAACAACTGGTGCACTGCCAAAACTTTCCAGGTAAAGCCCACACTCTTCTGTTTCGCGAGTGCAAACAGCAGACATAAGTACGTTATTTTGACAGTAATTGTTTTGGTCACAGTGCGTACTGAACTGTACATCTGTACCGAATGGCTTTGGCACATATACACCCCTAGTGTATGTGCAATAAAATTACAGCAGTTTTTGTATGTTTCTTGGAAACTTTATCGTCTTACTACGTAGGACACTACACATATCTTAATTTGTTAGCTGGAATTTGAATCGATGCTTTTGTTTTTAAAATGTTATGGCCATGAACTTTATTGTTTTGTAACTCATGTCTAGTGACTTGATACCTCTCTCCAACAGCTCAGTCAACCAATCCATTTGTGGCTGCTGGAGTTGCTCCAGCAGCAGCTCCCACCAACCCGTTCCAGAGCAATGGCAGAGTAGCAAATATGGCAGCAGCAGCAGCAGCAGCAGCAGGTGTGTTTATGTGTTTTAATGTTTGTGTGTGTCTGTGAATGTGTTGCAGATATAGCACACCCAGTCAACCTGCTCAGTTAGTTCAATAGTGCAGAATAAAATCTTTATAATAAAATGCAGGTGTGTTATTGTACAGTAAATGTAACATTTGTTAGATTCCCTAATCGGGGAACACACCCAACCAGGGAAGTAGAAGAGAAAATAACTTAATTGAGATTCAGTTGTCTGTTTGATTGCTCTTGCCATGCTGGACAGACTTGATGAGGGTTCTTCATGGGCAGGGTTATCCTCCTGCCTTTGGTAGGTTCCCTTGTGCTCTCTGCTTCCCTTTTGCTCTGCTGTGCCTTGCTCATGCAGTGCCTTCTTGCCCCTTCAGTAAATCTATCAGGAAAATGTTGTAGAGGTAAAAAAAAAAAAAATGTCCGCATTCATATGGAGAGAGTGATCAGAGTCATGTAATTTCATTATGATTTAAAAATGTCAATGATTGTTGTATTTATCTAAATAATGGTTATTATTTTAATCCTGAAGAAGAGCAGTGCCCTAGCGCCCTCTATTGGGCTCCTGTATATTCACTAAAAATGGCTCCCTCAACATTTTCCTTTTACCAGTTGGCAAGAAGCCCTAATTCTCTTCAGCCTGTTTTAACACATTTAATTCTTAAAAATAAGTATGCATTGTAATGAAAACTAAGAATCATCTTGTCATTCATTATAAAATGCATAAAATGCTTCATTCAATAAACAAACCCAGTAAGACACTGCAAACTGTTGGGTCTTTAAGACTCAAACCTTATCCTTGTTGGATTTGTTTGTATATTCAGTTAGTTACAACTCCAGTCATTGACTTTGTTTAATGAGAATTGGATGTAGCATTTCTGCCAGATACAGGATTTCTCAATTGCTAGTTGACTGCTTTACTTACTGCAATTCAATTCCACCTGTTGCACTGTGGGAAAGTCATGTTCCTGTGAGGTCATCTGAGGCCAGTCACTGGTGTGACACTCACTGCAATCTAAATTTGCAAACATGCTCTGAGACTCAAAGAGAAAAGGTTTAATGTACAGTTTTGGGCATTGGGAGTCACACTATGGATTAGAGAAACAGTGACTGATATGTTTCTATTTTTTTTTGTCTTCTTGTTGACTGTTCTGTAATTGAGTTGTTCATATTCTCACTCATTTAAGTTTACCACTTATATATTGCTTTCTAACAAACTGCTGATATTAATAACATCTTAGTATTTGCCTTCAGTTATGTTTTTTTTTTCCTGCTGCTGTGTGCCATCTCCTGTGTAACGTCACATTTTATAGGCGTGTGTGTGTGCTATAAAGTTCTTAAATAAAATGAAGCAATAGCTTATTATTTTGTCATATCCCTGAAGATGTCTTGTACAGGTTCCTTTAACCACTCACTGTCCTGCTGTGTTGCAGCGTCTTTCGGCACAGGCTCCATGAGTATGCCAGCTGGATTTGGGAATGCTGCAGCCTACAACCTTCCCACCAGCTTTAGTGGAACCTTCCAGCAACCTTTTCCTGGCCAGGCCCCCTTCCCTCAACCTCCTGCATATCCCCAGCAACCCAACGGTGTGTGTCTGTGTAATTATGTGTATATAGACATATCTGCATTAATAACTATGCTGAAAGTCTGCGGTCGGGCTCAAAAAAGTCCTTCTTGATTGGTTTGTTGCTATAATTAATTTGTTGGATGGATATTCCACATCTCCTAAATGACAGTGTGCGTCTTTCAGGTGGAGGATTTCCAGCCTTTGGCCAGGCCAAGCCTGTTGTGACTCCTTTCGGGCAGGCAATAGCTGGACCAATGGTCTCTAGCAACCCTTTCCTGGTTAGTAAGAGGGCTATATGGCATTATTTCCTGTAAAAGAAATTAGTTTTACACAGACCATTGTTGTTAATAGAGATTAGGCAGTCACCTAACTCCTCATTTTTAATTCCGTTGAATAGCCCGTTGATTACATTGCCACTATTGTTTCAGTTCTAATTTTAAAAAAGACACAAGTGGTTGGATTTAAGCTAAACATTGTCATGTTATGTTAATGGTTAGTAACAAGTACTTTTTCTGTTTGTGTGTCGCTTATTTCTTCCAGGGTGCGGGTCCATCTGCACAATATCCAGCAGCAGGCTCTTCAACAAATCCATTCTTATAGCGATCCATCCAATCAGCTCCACTACAGGGTCAACAACTGGCGCGCTTGCACCTATTGCACTGTTTTGTTTCACAAGTAGCTTTAAAAACACAATGTTTGTAAGGATTTGTATTTTCTATTGCAGTTTGTCACAGATGGAACAATATGACAGACAGTCATGCTGACTTTGTCTATGGCTACAAAACCAAGTGATGGTGTGTGCAGAGGGAGAGGTTGATCCCCTCTTCTCTATTGAACCTGTGAACTGGCCTCTACTGAACCACAATGTATACTCAAACTGGCTGAAAACTAAGTTATTGCATACAGTGTATCCCATTCATTATGCTGCAATTCTGTACATATTAATTTTCTTTTAGGAAATTAGCTCTTTGTGCATATCAGTATTTGTATGTAACACAAGATTTGTTAAGACAGAACTGTTGCTTGGAAAAGCTAATGGGTACTGCCACTTACTGTATTTGTGAAGAACCAAACTGTTTATTTGTGCAGGATCCTTTTAGGTAAAATGTTCTCGCTAAAGGAAAAAAAAAGCCTATTCTGTTGGCAAGAGATGAAAATGAAAGGAGTGACATCAGGGATGGGCAGGGGACTCAATTCTCTGCCATCCCCTGCCCTGGTGACAGAGACCCAGGTCACACTGCTTCTGAACTACAACCACACCTAGAAGTGGGTAACAGGTATGGCTGTTGAGCTGAAAACCACTTATATTGGGTATTAGAGAATTTTAAGTTAATATGTAAATATATACAGAATATATATTAAAATGGATTTTAAGTAAGAAGGACTGACCAAACCATTCATTTATATGGATGTATGAAAATCTTGTATATATTTGTTTTGTATAAAAAAAAAAAAATTTATATTCATGGTCTTGCAGTCAGTAATTTTTAATTTTTTGCTTTGAAACCAACATGTGACCACTTGTTACTATCTCAGCTGGCGGTGTCAAATTCACAATCTGTGTTCATCAGAGTCTGGAGGTTCATTTTTGTCTGGAAAGGTGGACTCTTTGCTGCTTCTCTGTGCTCTCCAAATGGTAAACACTCCCCGAAGTGAAAAAACAACAGCGATGACTGAGAAGTAGCTGGCATATATGGTGAACTGCAAAAAAAACCCACAATTTGAAATGCACTTGTAACTGTAATGAGTGGACATATAAACACTTCTGCTACATCCACGGAAGGCCTGATTGATATTTTCTGATCAGATGGCTCACCTGTGGAATGATGCCCAGGCCCAGTCCTCTACTATCAACCACAACAGAAGTGATGATGGTCTGTAAAGCCAGTGCTCCAAAGTTGTTTGCTCCAAAGACCAGTGCATATCTTTCCATTGACAGGTCAGCTGCAATCTGGTACCTAAGAGAAGTGTTTTGTTCATTGAAATGTTCTTTTTCCTGCTCTGCTTGCAATAAAATTAGGCCTGAACTAAGTGGTACAAACAACCCCTTTTATCGTATAACACTCTTACATTGCAATAGTTATCAGCAACATGTACAGGCACTTGAAAATGACATAACCGGCGTAGCAGACCCAGATGTTTCCGATGAAAGTCATGAGGAAGAGTGATGCTGCCCCGAGTCCAGAGAAACCACCCAGGGCCAGCTCCCCCCACTGTTCCCACCTCACCTCAGTGAAGCCTATACCATAGGCTGTTGCTGCACCTGCAAAACATGGATTTAGAATTATTGTAGTAGAGGTGACAATTGAATAGGCATTGGGAAAAATGGGTTTGAGATCTATCAAAAGCTTTCAAGTCATTTTCCTTTCGTAATCAAACATATTCCTAGAATTTGGTATAATAGCGTTCCATATAGAGGCCACAACAATAAGACACTAGGTTATATTTGTTTTTTCCCTTTATTGGTCTGTATCCTGCACTGGGAACGTTGCCACCTACCCAACAGGTTGGACACTGCCTCCACGCCTCCATTGTAGATGCTGAAGTTTTGAGAAGGCTGCGCATGCTCCCACAGCACCTGCAGAATATATTGCAGTGACCATTAAAAGTGATCCCGTCATAGATATGCACAAAGTATCTTCGCTTCTTTGTTTATGTTGCCTCCCCAACTGACCTGCACGTAGTTGACAGTCTGGTTATAGCCGCAGGTGGCCATCGCCCACCACACTGACCAGTACAGCAGCTGTCTGGAGGCATAGCACTGTCGGAAGTCCCTCCACACCTGGAGGAGGACTTTGCTGCAGTTATCTGCACCAACCGACTCCTCAAGGTCCTCAGCCTTATGCTCTTTTTCATCCAAACCATTTCTTGCTTCATCCTCTGTTTTTCCTCTTTTTTCCACCTTCTCATCTCTTACTTCTTCCAGGGATACATTTGAACCTCTTGTGTGCTCTGCTGCATCCCCAGTCCCACCTACACTACTATGCCTCTTTGTTCCCTCTGTTGCTGTTTTTTGTCCAGTATGTCTGCGGTGAAAGAACATGCTCTGCTGTGGCATTGGCAGGAGGCAGGAAGTGAGGAGAGCGATGGCAGTGAGAACTAGAGTGAACACCAAGATGTTGTTGTAGGACATGAGGTTGAAGCTGACGAGAAGCTGGCCCAGTACAGAGCCCACTGTGTAGCCCAGGAGCTGGATACTGCGGCAGTAAGAGGTGGCCTTCCTGTACCTCTTCACATCTACCACACTGTAATAAACAACATAATCAAAATGTCATATCTGTCCAAACAATGCAAAAAAGCAAATCCCTGCCCTTTGAGCTGCAGTGCAGGACCTGTAGATGTAGGAGAAATAGGCCACCTCGCTGGCTGTCACCACCCCGTAGAAGAACTGCATGGCCTGCATGGCTGGTACACTTTCCATCCAGAGGAGCATTGCTGTCGTGATGAAGAGGCTGACGCACTGGAACACCACCACAGGCTTGTAACGCAGCCAGTCAGTCAGCAGGAAGACCGGCACCAGCACAGCCAGGTAGGAGTACGTCCACACCGGGAAGATTTGATTGTTTACCTGATGAGTTGACGCCAATAAAAGGTTTCATGTAAGACGGGAACTGTATTGCTTCATACACTGTTTACCCCGAAAGTTCATTCTATGCAAACAGTTTGAGTAAATACCACTTTTAAAGATTAGTTTTATTGCATTACTTTAACAGTATGAGTATATAAAGAGTGTGTGAGACAGTCATTGGGTGTACTCATTTTTGTAAGTTTAACAAACTTAAACTATCAAGTTTTACCTTAGGCCACAGTGCTGCCCTGTTGTGATTGGCTCAAAACTCAAGACAAGTCTGTGCTTGTCCGTTGGCAGCTACAGAGAAAGTTGTGCCATTTTCTAATTTACACAGAGCAATTTAAGGTCTTTGCACTTTGCATGCTCCTTGGACAATACATGCCTGCATTTTTCTGTTTTTAGCAAGTTTGGACGCTCTTAAAGGACATTTTCCTGCCGTAAAGAGGATACCATTTCTGCCTGAATGAGGTGAGTTGTTTTCTCTATTCAAGTATTAGAAACTGCTGGAACATTTCTAGTTTGAAATGTGTACATTTGAATGTGTGTAAATTTGAGGTTGACTTATAGGTACATTTTGAGCGTTGGACAATTGCAATTGTGACAATTGTGATTTTTGAGTAGCTCTCTCTACTTGTGTGTCTTCTACATACAGTTTTGCAATAGTAGTGTAAAATTCAAATGATTCAATGTAGTTTGGAAAAAATTCCAATGCCCAATTTTAACATTAGCCTCATTTGCCCTACTCTGTTTGTTTTAAAATGCCTTGGAAATGCAAGTACTGCCCTGCCATCTGTGAGAAGAGAGCACAGTTTTTTAAACATTATAGGCTAAAACATGGGACTTATGCAAGAACTGAGCCCTTTCCTTGCTTGCATCAAGAATGTATGTGTACATTCAAGTCTCTCAATGCACTCAGACACCTATACATGAACACACACAAATGCCTCTAATCGCTTGTTTACACAACATTATCTAAAATAAAACCACTGTGAATTATGAAAATCATAATATTTATGAAGACCACACAGCTGATTGTAGACAAATTGCTGTTAACCTGAATATCCTCCTTTTGTCTCTTTTCTCACACTATAGAATCTTAATGAGGGAGACTGTGGACATTCCCGTGGGAATCCTCTGCTATGAGGACACCAGCACTCCAAGCCCAGCAAGCCCAGCAAGCCCAACATCACCACAACTAAACCCCTCAAGAGTGGGCATCATCCTAGAGGGCAGCCTTGTAATGGCACTCACCAACCTACCACAGGCAATGTGTCTCTTGTTTGGCTTTACCTATGCACTCCACCTGCAGTACCCGAAGTGCATAAAAAACACATTTGCCTTCAGTCAGCAGGTAATGCTAAATTTGGGTCGAAAGTAAGCTACCTCCCAAGGTTCAAAAGCTGAAGAATGATGTTGCAGTGTAAGACACATTAATGCTCATGACACAATTCTTCATGTCCTTGCCTGGATTGTTGCACAAATACGTACATCGCACTGACTGGAGCAAATATTCTTGCAGTTGCTCATTTTGTATGTGATTCTTCTTGTACTAAATGTGTCTAGTTTTACTTGTTTTACTGAAATTATTCTACAGAGGACACATTTTAGAAAGTTGCAGGGTTTTTTTTTTTTTTGGTTTTTTTTTTTACCAACTCTGGTCCTCACTGCATAGTTTTTCTTAATGCTACTGTTTTTAATGCCTGCTTTGTTGTGTGGCAAACAAAGCATACAGTTTTTCATTTTGCAGTCGCAGTATGCTGTTACATGGTCAGTGTTGTTGTTTTTCTTTCATACTTGAAAATTGTTCACAAAGCAAAAAATTTAAAAACTATGCTGTGATTGTATTTGGAATGAAATCGTTTCCTAATTCAATACACATGTTCTGTTTGCTGCATCATAGCAAGGTACTGTAAGGTAATGTCTGCAGCAAAAAGTAAGAATATACTGTTGTAATTGTTGGCAAAGACCCATTTTGATAATTTTATGAAAACAAGGTCTTACTGTTATTTTGGATTTACATCTGGTGTTTCACACAGCATAATTGTTAATACATATTTGTTGCTTTGTTGTGTGTCTAAATAAAATAAATAAAATGTACTGCATTGTGTGGTCATTGACAAAAGAATAATTTAATTGGACTTTCCTTATTCCAAATATAACATTTTTAATTTAATATATTCATATTTTTAAATAAAACTAGAATTGTGAAGTGTATTTGACTTTAATATTAAGTTTTGACTATTGTACTTTTAAGTAGACTCCACTACTTTTCTATTGTGATGACTTAAACCATTTAAGTGTATGTAACTTAAAAATGTTAAATTCTGACTATGGTACATTTAAGTTGACTATAATTAAACAAATTAATTTTCTCTACTGTCAATAACTTAAAGCATTTGAGGCAATCACTTGACACAAATGGTTTAAGTACAATCAACTTATCCGGGTTTACAGTGTAGCAATAAATCAAACGACCAGAGGATCACCGTGATTGGATTTTTATCACTCAAGTAATAAAGACTGTATTAAACTCTTTAGTGTGATTCATAAACGTGGTTATTTTGTAAAAAATATAATATAAATGTAGTTTCTGCAAGTACAAAAATATTTGTTGTTAAAGCCAAGACAAGTCAAACAGAAACTGTATGTAGGCTACATGATTGCTCTTTTGATTGATTTATATTATGTTTTTCTGATTCATAATTTGCTTAAGTTATTTGTGTTTCATACCTGTTCTGTTGTCAGATTCTTGTCCGGTCCTGTCAAGTATGGGATGATGAAAGGCTCCAGGGGTTTAACTGTGCTGAAGAATCCATAAATGCACAGCAGAGTAGTTGGATACCTCCAGTCTGACCTCCACCTCTTCACTGCTTCCATCTCCTGCTCTTCTTCTACTGGTTTACAGTGTGTGTGTGTGTGTGTGTGTGTGTGTGTGTGTGTGTGTGTGTGTGTGTCTGTGTCTGTGTCTGTGTCTGTGTGTGTGTCTGTGTGTCTGTGTGTGTCTATCTTCCTTGTCATGCTAGTTTTCATGTCTTGCCTCCTTGTGAGAAAAACACCTTGAAGTTGCCTAAGTGTTTGAGCTTGGTTTGTCAATCAACAACCCGGTCAAAGAGCAGCACAACGTTGGTGACTGTCCAACTCAAGCTCAGATACATGTGTCACGAAATTAAACAGCCAACCAGACAAATCTCAGAACTTTATCTTTAATATACTTATCAGTTATAATTTCAGTTTTATTATACTGTTTGGCTTTCTCTGTAGATAATTATAGAGATAACAAGTTGTAGAGAAAATATAGAAAACACCCATGGAGTCAGTCTGCAACTAAAGGCCATTGTTGTATGGGCACCATTTTGGAGGCAATATAATGCTCAGTTTACACTCAGTAGAGAACAATAATGCTGTTTTAAGAAGCACAATTATTTTATTCCCCATAAACAAATGGGACAGATCAAGAATATAACAGTTTGTTGACCTTTGTCAGAAACTTTCAGTAGAAATCACTTCCACACTTGACTCCTTGGTACGTGTGTGTTCAGGGTTGTGTTGATTTGCACATGCGGTGTAAGTCCCTCGAATCAGAAACAGCACAGAGATGGCGGCGTAGTAGCTGCCGTAGATGATGAACTGCAGAGAAAGCCTTCTGTCATCCTCAACATTATTATTTTAAGCATGCTATGGATCAGTCTTCATTAGACATGGCTGCATGCAACAGTGAATAACACCCACAAGGTGTCGCCCTGTCCTCACATTTTAGTGTTTATCAGACGGAAAGCTTATGCTGCATACTGTACATTCTTGATTCACCCAGAAATTTATCAGCATTAAACACCTGCATCCTGCCAGAAAAATAAATAGGTTAGAACTGAGCACTGTGTACATACATACCTGTGTCACAATGTCCAGTCCCAGTGTAGCTTCATCCACAACTATGAGTGTAATGATGGTCTGCAGTGAAAGAGCTACAAAAGTGTTGATCCCGAATGTCAAAGCGTAGCACTCCATGGAGAGGTTGGATGCGATCTGAAATCTACAACGACAAAGTGCTTATAATTTCTGAGAAAACTATGCTATTTGTTTAGACTGTCATAGATATTTACAAGCAATGCACAATAGAAAACTGAAACAATTAGTCGGCAGAAAATTAATCAACTATTTTGATCGTCAGTTCATAGTTTGGATCACTTTTGAAGTCAAAATGCCAAACATGCTAGTACCAGATTCTTCAATTAGTATTTTTTTTTTTTTTGTATATTATTGTGAATTAAATAACTAAAGGTTTGGGAATTTTGGTTGGAAAAAAGGAGCAATTCAAAAACCAGCCTTCTTTGACTGTAAAGCTTGTTTTACAGATAAAACCATACTGCAGGATCTTTCTAATAATTCCTATGGAGTTTAGTAGGGTTAGGGTTAGATGTTCTCCGTTACACACAGAATAAAAGTTTGTTTGAACGAATTCCACCGTGAACTTACGCTGTGATGGTGATGAGAAGCATGTAGCAGGACTTAAATATAACATAACCAGCATAGCAGGCCCAGATACTGCTGGTGAGCGCCATCAGAAACACAGCACCTGTGGCCACGGCTGAGAACAACCCTAATGCCAGCTCTCCCCACACAGCCCAGTTCACCTTGATGTGGCCCACGGAGAGGGCCGCTGCAGCACCTGACCCATGAAAGAGAAAGATGAACGTGATCAATCTGTCATTCCACCAGACAACACCTCCACTGTGCCTGTGCATTCTTATGATTCATTCATTAATCCTACAGCAACATTTCTTTCCTTGAATGAAGGTATAAAGGGCGATGCGGCCTCTACATGAAACCTTATGTGCACACATGCCTTTGCTAGTCTCCACGGAACTAGCCTATTATGATGAACCACTTCCTCCCAGCTCTTGGATTCAACTATCAGCAATAATCAGAGAATCCATTACCACCTAACTCTATCTCCTTAATTGAAGCAATTACTCTTCTTCTTCTTCTCATGCTGAGCCAGGTTGAGGGTAAGCCAACAGGACCATGGTGCTGCTATTCCCTTTCAAAATCAATACATATTTTCCATTTAAACAGGTATCCCATTAAACCGAGAATGGCAAGGTTGTTTTCTTTTAATTGCAAGTTTTTATAGGTCTGTGTGCCATCAGACATGGCAGCTTTTAATAAAACTGTTAAATTTTATTTCAGTCTATATAAACTTCTGCCCTCTCCCGTGTTAATTTAACTCCTGGTTGCTGTTCTCAGTGTGGTGAAAATCAGGAGTCATATTTATTTAAAAGATGAAGCTGGCGATATTCTGTATTTTTATTATTGTCAACAAATCCCAGGATGGTGTATGTGGGATCAACAAAAAAATAACTAGAGCGCCCACATTCATTGTAATGACAAACACGTCAACCAGTGGAATAGTGTTGATCATTGATGTGTTTTTTAATTGTTTTTGGACAATAAAGGAGGTCTACAGCACAGAGGAATAAACTATATAAAGCCTTGGCTGCACAGGCGATACTTAGTTGGATAAATTCATTGTTGATTTCGGTTATTTCATGGGATGAAAAATATAGAATATCTACCATTAAAGGTCCAGTGTGTAACATTACGAAGATCTATTGGCAGAAATGGAATATGATATGCATGCTGTAGTTGTGTTTTAATTAGTGTATAATAACCGGACCTAACCTTCGTTGACTTTAGCTGTTTTTATCTACAGATGGAGCGGGCCCTCATCCACAGAGATTGTCATGTTTCTACAGTAGCCCATAGCAGACAAACTAAACACTGGCTGTAGATAGGGCCTAAATCCTACACCCTGGTCCTACTTCACATGACGATATTAACTGGTAAGGTAGCAGAAGTATGATCTTACCAGAAACAGGAACCTCTTTCTCTTTCTGAATGGTTTTATGTCTCTCACACACACCCACACACCTACAACCAGTCTTACCCACAAGAGAGCACGCAGCTTCTACACCTCCGTTGTAGACGGACGATGTGGCAGATGGTTCTATATGGTCCCACATTAGCTGGATGTAGTTAAAAATCTGCACGTAGCCAGCTGTGGCCAGAGCCCACCACAGGGACCAATAGATTAAATGCCTGCATGGTGGACATTATTTAAACAGATTATGATCATGATTGTATCAAAAAAGCTCTTCCTACTATCTAAAAATAAGTATATGAATACATTATAGAAAACACCACAATGAAGAATCATTTCATTTGTTCATTTGCTGAAGTAAAAAAAAGCTATGACACAGGACAAAATGTATAAAAGTTGTGTGCTCAGCAGATCGGCACTTAAAGCGTGATGCATATAAAAAAAATAGTAAAAAGAAAATGCCTGGAAGAATACGACTCCTTGAAGCTTTGCCAAAGTAGATGGCCTGCCGTTGCCACATTTTCCCCGCTGCACCAGCCAGCACTGCCATTATGCTCCATCTTGTCTTTCCCCAAGCCAACTTCATCCATATCCATCACTGGTTCCTCAGGCCCCCCCTGCTGGGACTCCAAGCCCACAGCTGCAGCCTTTTTCCCTTTGAAGAACAGGCTCCTCTGGGGCATGGGCAACCAGAAGGAGACGAGAAAAGACATGCTTACAATCCCTAAAGTGATAGCATTGATGTAGAAGTAGTCCACTCCTGTTGATTACAGTTCATATTTGATCAGTGCTTGCTCAAATAGTTAATTTTGTCATGTATGCAGTAAAGGCAGATTTCCAGACTTATATATAGACAATATAGAGCTCCTGTATTTATCTAGTAGTTTCATTTATTCAGTATTTATAGGCTTGGAAACCCTACCTGCCAGGGAGATGAGTATTTGGCCCAGGCTGGCGCCAAATGTATATCCAGCCAGCATGGCACTGCGCAGGTAACCAGTGGCTCTTTGGTAATTCTCAATTGGAATCACACTGTAAATGTAGGATAAGTAAGCCACCTCAGTGGATGTCACTACAGCATAGTTGACCTGTCGATGGGATGGAACAGTTTTAACGAGATGGCAGGCTATGATGGAGCACCTTGTACCAGTAATGTGTAACATAATGCATTCTATCCAAGTTCCTCTTGAGTAATATATTAAATAATATATTTTGGGTTATTAATAAACTTGTATGTCAGGACATACGACATCAGGTGCATGTCTGAATTATAAATGCTGCAGCTTTGATTATTTTGAATTGTCACATGAGGAACATTATTACTATTCAACCATTTTAAACCATTTTTATCAGGATTTCAGTCGACCTGAAGGAAGATCATAGAAGGCAGACCCGGAGCAAAGCAGAGAAGGATGTAGTTGGTGACCAGGAAGAGCCCCTGTACCATAATGAGGGGCTTATGCCTCAGGAAGTCAGTCAGGAGGAAGACAGGAAAAAGAAAGGCCAGGTAGGAGTATGTCCAGATAGGGAACAGGTAGTTGGTCACCTGTGAGAAGCAACAAGCACCAGAGAATAAAAATACTGATCCAGTCTCTTGTCTATGGCATGCTTATCTAATTGATGCGGTTGGTCTCGGATAAGTACTCCTGATAAAAGATACAATACTTGATGTATACAGGCTGTATGTGTCATTCTTACCACATCTCCAGAGATGTTCTTGTGTGGTCCAATTAGGTACGGTATGAGGAAGGGCTCTGCCATTCTACAGTTAGCAAAAAACCCATAAAGGCACAGGACGGCGGTGGGGTAAGCCCAGGCAGAGGATTTCAGGTTGGCCCAACAGAGCATGTTTTTACCTCAAAGAAAACTCCCAGAGATCGTCGATTGGTTTTTAATTCCAAGAGCGCTTCCTGAGCACCGTGGTCTTAATTTGAAGTCTGACTACCTGGACTATCCTTTAAGTGCAGTGACTTCTTGCGGCTATCAGAATTGATCAGTAGCTAGAATACACACACATAATATTTATGGTCTGCACTTGACTTTGTCACAGTTTATGAGTGATAGACTTTGACCTGTTAGGAAACGGAAGGATAGCTGAGTGTTGATGAAATAAGTATTTCTTCAGGATATACAAAACAATTTAAAAGGTTAAAATGAAACTTCTTTTTGTTCGGCAGAGGCAGGCAAAAATTTGGTCAGTGAATAATGACTCCTTCTGCAGCATAAAGGCAGATATTTATTAACAGGAAGTTGTTATTAAGTGATTAAACAATTCTCTAACTGTATAAAAAAAAGTTAAAGAAACAGCTGTACAAGGCAGTGATATAATAAGCACAACAATATTACAGTCATTCACAATATACAACACAAATGCACGTTGTAAGGGGGTTTAAATTCTATGAGTTAGTCTATGAGAAACATATAGCAAACTGCTGTTTATACCTTGTATGTTCCTCAATTACCTAGGCATAAAACACCAAACACCAGAATTTAAGGAGAGAGTTGTATTGGTACGGGAGCCCAGAATAGTAAAGCCTCGAGCATTAGTTCCCAACCTTTTTGGTGTCAAGGTCCCCCAAATTGATAAACATCAGGCCAGCACTGTATGTGATGAACTGTAGTCTCAGTGATCCTGACTTACCAATTTCTATAACTGTCTATACTGCAGATTGGCAGATTAATAATGAAGAGTGTGAAACCTATGAACAGAATAGTAATTCTTATATATTCTCTCACCGGGCTAACTTTTAGCCAATCGAATAATAGTAAAATGAAAATATTCCCCATTGTTCTGGGGACCCTCTAGAAACCCTCTCAAGGACCCCTGGGGCGTCCCGGACCACTTATTGAGAACCCCTGGTCTAGAGCGCGATACTACATTGTCCCTTGTGCAGAACCCCCCCCACACCCCCGAGCCAGGACGCGGAAATAAAGATAAGATAATAGTTATTTGTGTTTACCAGCTTTAAATTAAACTTCTGTTGGTTTGTTTTTGTTCTTACTGCGCATGAGTAGTGAGTGCACGCGGTCATGTGCAGCAGCTCTGTCGCCATAGCAACGGTTTGTTGATAGCTGAGTGTCCGGAGTTCATGGCAATATGAAACTCAAGCGGTTCCTTCTCAGGTATTATCCACCAGGTAAAGCAAATAATGTTATTACTATACGTTTTCCCAGTTGTAACGTTAGTTCTTTTGGAGGGAATGTGGCACTGTTGTAACGTTACAGGAATGTTTTAAACTTTCGACAAATGACTGTAACGTTACGTTAGCTGAGTCCATGCTAGCGTTGGTATGTTCAGTGGAGCCGTTATGAGTGGCCTGTCCTGGTTTCATTTGTGTTTCTGCTCTCAGGTATAATCTTGGAATATGACAAAGGAGGATATTCGAGGACCAAATCAATCGACCTTTTGGATTTGACTCCAGGGTGAGTTGTATCATATAACGTTCATAGCTAATGTAAGTTAGCTCATAACTTATCTATCTCCCATAGACCCATTTGTGACCTCAGCACAATGAGGGAGTCGACTAACTAACTTACCTAACGTTACTAGGCTACAACAGCTAACTCCCATTACACTATTTAACCCTGTTACATGTAGAGGGAAGTTAATTGTACTGTAAATTGTGAAGTTGAAGTTCCTTAATATGATGTAACACAGATTAAAATGTATTGTTATGTCTGGTGTACATTTGTTTAAATGAGAAAGATGAGACTACAAATTAGGGATAACGTTAATCAGTTCAACTCAGATTATACTGACACTCATCAGTGTACTTAATTCACCAAGAGGAGCAGTGTTTTTTCTATGCATACTGTATATTTGGGTAAAGGGCTGAGTGAATTTATTTCCTCTGTATGTAATCTCCAGCAGTGTCTCATTTCTTCCTACTGTTGACATCTACAATTCACTGACACAATTCTTATTATTTTGCTTGTAATTTTTTCTTATGTTATCATGTTTTTAATTATCACATCAGGTGATTTGACATCTGAAAATTGCATTTTTCCCCCCATGCAGAGCAAACCCAGACGAGCTGTTGGCAGAAATCAGGCAATCAGAGCCTCTGATCACAGAGTCCAGGGCTGAACAGGTCAAACAGCTGATCATTCGACTTCAGCAGAAACAGGGCCAGCAGGACCACCACAGGTTCTGTTTCTCCAAGGCAAGAGACTGGTGTCATACCGACATTACTGGCCAATAATAAGCAATTCAACACAGTGACACAACATCTAGATACAGTAAAGTAGCTGTTATTCATTCATTTTCTATTAGAGTCTATTGTTATTCAGTCCCAGGACAGATTGTGAAATCTATGTATGATTTTGTGAAACAAGTGTCGAAAACGCTTTGTTTATCTATCAGACTGTGGGACTAAAACAAACTCTTGTGGATTTTTCTTTCTGTAAAGCTGCATTACTCTATTAAACACAAGCAGTTGAAAAGATTTTGGATGATGAAATGCTTGGCAACATCAGCTAAATACAGCAGTATAGTAGTTTCTTGAGTTTTGCCTTTCTGTTATTTGTTATCTGTGGAAAGTTAGGAGTTTGCGTAGTGAAATTAGCCAGTGCTCCAAAGAGGCACTAGAGAGCAGCAGTGGTTAGGTTACTAAATTGTAGATTAACAAGCATGCCAACAGTCTAAAAACATGATAACAACAACTGCTGCCTCAGTGTCTTAAGGAATAATAATTGGTAAGAGGTCAGGGTTGGTTACATGGCTAAAGGTCAGAGGATAGTGGTGCTTTGTCTGAAACTGGTGAGAGTCTGTTCTGCGTAAGGAGAGAAAATCCTTCCACCACTGTAAGGCCAGGAGGGAGAGGTCCATTACATCAAAGTCAGAGTAATTATATATGGTTATTACATGGGTGATCTTAAGATGAATAAAGTAAATAACTACCCTGCATGAAAGTTATATTTTCTCATTTCTCTCTGGTCTTTTCTGCAGGAGCTTAAGGCACACATACTCCCACTGACCAATGTTGCCTTTGACAAATCAGGGTCGAGGTAGGTTAATCTGCAACTCAAAAGCCTCGCACTTTGGAGTTCAGGGAAGTCTCTGTAGTTTTTTGTGTTGTTATTTATTGTTTTCACTAACAATCTGCAGGTTTATAACTGGGAGCTATGACAGGACATGTCGAGTTTGGGACACAGCCTCAGGCACAGAGCTGCATACTCTAGAGGGTCACAGAAACGTTGTGTATGCAATTGCCTTCAACAACCCCTATGGGTAATGAGCTGTTTCAGCAAAACTTTCATAGCAACTGAGAACATTGCTCTAAGTATTTAGCCTTTCAAAGGGGCTGTTCATCTTACGAATGACAGTTGTTTTGCTTTATTTTATCTTTCTGGAACTTAGAGACAAGATTGCCACCGGCTCTTTTGATAAGACCTGCAAACTGTGGTGTGCAGAGACGGGAAAATGTTTTCATACCTTTCGTGGACACAGGGCAGAAATAGTATGTATGACAATCTGGTTTAACTGAAAATGATTAATTCTTTGGTTTATTTGTACTAATTTCTTGCTTCATACGCAATATTTTACCGTATATGACCAAGTGCCTTTAGCTGGGCCCAAATGAGCATTTACATTGCATCGTGTAATGCTTTTATTTTGGTATTATGTTTAATGCTTAGATAATAAATAAGTCTGCCAAATCATTTTTGCCTTTGTAGCTGAATCCAGCACTAGTGAGTGTAAAAGAGTGTTTTGTACTGTGTAGGTGTGCCTGTCGTTCAACCCCCAGAGTACACTGGTGGCCACAGGCAGCATGGATGCCACTGCCAAGCTGTGGGATGTGGAGACTGGAGAAGAGGTGGCCACTCTGACTGTGAGATATATTTTCTTTACTTATACCCAGTGCCTCTCTTGCTCTTTTTTCTGGTATGGTTCACATCCTTTTATTAATAATGTATAAATAAACATTCTACGAGTAAGTATTACAAAATTGAGTGTTGTTACTCCTACTGATGGCCGGTGCCTTTTCTACCCCACGTAGCTGTAACTCCTTAATAAGGCACCGATAACCCACTCTGAGGGGAGTAGTGAGCTCTCTTTGATGTACAGACTGCACGTGGGTCCATGGTGTGACTGGTCGGTTGGCTGGCTGGCTGGCTGGCTCTGTCTCAGTGAGAAGAATCTCTCTGCAGCTCTCTCTGTTCTTTTAGTACTTTGCACCATGAAGAATCAATCATCCTGACAGCCGCCAATTGAGCAGAGACTGTTAAGCGTATGCCCATTTTTATTTATTTATGTCAAGAGTTTAAGAATCTACCTTTAACGCATGAGTCTGTATGTTTATTTAAATGAATAATATCGTGTTTTTGGTGTGTATTTTGATCCGTACGGGAACAAAGAGGGAGAGAACGAGAGGGAGTTTAATAGAGAAAAGAAATGAGGCAGTGAGGGATTATGTTCTCTTTTTGATTTCACCCAGGGTCACACTGCAGAGGTCCTCTCTCTGTGCTTTAACACAGTGGGTAACCAACTTGTCACTGGCTCCTTCGACCACACAGTAGCTATATGGGATGTTGCTTCAAGACAGTGAGTCAGACATTGTCATTGTTTCTGCAATCATGTATGCGTGGATTTGTGCATGTGTCATCATTTATAGTGTACAGTACATGCATAGCACCTATAGATTCTGCATACAAGAGTGCACAAGTGACTGACTCACTGCTGTGTTTTCTGTTCTTCTAAGACGTGTTCACACTCTGATTGGTCACAGGGGGGAGATCAGCAATGTTCAGTTTAACTGGGATTGCTCCCTCATAGTCACAGGCTCCATGGACAAAACCTGCAAGGTGAGCTATCATCACCAAAGGCTTAAATTGTGTGTGTATTGTTTTTTTTTTTAACTCCTGCAAATACATTTATTTTTGCCAAAAAGTCAATTTACTGACTGGAATTGCCCACAGTAATAGTTTGTCATTCATTTAGCATTTGAAACTATTGCAAGGCATACGTATTTGAAATGAAAGGCTCTTGTCATTCATATTCACCCTACCCTATTTCCCAATCACCGTCTCTTTCCACCTCCTGTCTCTAAGGTCTCCATCATTTAAAGGAGAAAAATGAATCCTTAATTCCTTAATTATGCCAAGATGAGTCATGCTCACAAGTAAGAATTATCCACCTCACTGCATTTCTCCAGGGGAGATGGTTAAAAAAAAGCCACTTAAGAGCTTAACAGCTACATACTAGCATATTTTATGAGACTGTGTATGTTTTTTTTCTGCTTATGTGTTTCCTGACTGTGTGTGTATAATTATAATTGTTAAATGTTGTGTGTTGTGTGTATATATTTGCAGTTGTGGGAGGCCGTCAGTGGGAAGTGTGTGGCCACCCTAGTCGGACACAAAGAAGAGGTGCTAGATGTGTGTTTTGATTTAAGTGGTCACCTCATTGCTACTGCCTCTGCTGATGGTAACAATTCATTTAATTAAGATTGACATTACTAGTAAAGTTTATTTATGTATGCTTGTTCGTGTATTTATGTATGCTTGTTTGTGTTCCTCTTTTTTCACTCACTCTCTCCAGCAGTGTTCTGTTGTTTTAAACACATGCCTGAGGTTTACTTGAACTTTTCTAATGCCAGAAGTCCGCCAAATTTTCTACTTTTCCTGAGGCTTATATTCAACAAAATCAATATTTTGATGTGTAAAAAAAAAAAGGCATAACGCATGAACACTTACAACCCTGCATGTCCCTGTTTTTTGTTAGGTACAGCGCGAGTATTCAGTGCAACCACACACCAGTGTCTCTTGATCCTAGAGGGCCACGATGGAGAGATCTCCAAAGTAAGTCACTGGACAGCCTGTGAAAAGTTATTTTATGTGAACATAGATTGCCAAAATCTCTCCCCATTTGTGGGTTACTTTCTTTATTCTTTTAACTTTGAAAAAAAAAAAAAAACCTTGTCAAACATTTTAACAAAGGTATAACAATGAGTGTGTTTTTAGCTCTTGCAACTATGAATCCAGTATATACCATAAGATTAGGACACCTGTGTTTCTCTAAGTCTATCCAGAGAGGTATGGTAACAAAATCTTAGCTTATGTTTCAGCTTTTTATAGCCATGTATTGTGTAATGAAGGCTAGTTGAACAGAGAGTAGCACAGAAGTGAATCACAACCTAGGCCATTTCATCAAAATTGTGTATATGACTAGAAAATTAATAGGAAACCGCATGGGGCACATTTACTTCCTGTCAACCTTTGATATTAATGGCAACAGAAAATAAAATGTTAGCTATTTATAAAACGTATTGTTTGAAACTGTAATAAGAACCTTACATCCCAGACCTGTTTGGGTGTAAGTATTATTATAACGGGCCATGGGGCACAAACACAAGTTTGTAGACGCACCAGGGTACAACCAGGTCTGGATGAGCTTGTGGTTTTTGTGTAACATTAACCCCCAGTCTCTAGCTACAGCTCTGCTGGCCAATGCTGTAAATAGGATATTGCCATGTTAACATGGGAAAAAGCATGATGCTGAAGTGCAGGGACAGGAGTCCAGGCTTCAGGCTGTTTTGTGCTTACTGCGTCACACGGTAAACCTAAGCAAGTAGGACATAGAGGGCTGTAGCGATGCTTATGTTGATCTGACTAATTGAATCTCTGGGCTCCAAACTAGATGTGTTCTTTTTCTCCATGAGAAGTTACAAATACCATCTGTCATCCCTGACCATAAGTGAGCATAGTCTGACCTTGGTGTTATTAGCCTTTGAACTCAAAGCACCAAATGCTACACCCATGCCATCACACGTAATCACACATCTCCAAAAAGAAGCTTTAACTTGGCCGGCCATTAGTTGAGTACTCGTACTTTAATGCGAGTGACTTAACCCATTTACCATTTCCCAGGTGTCTTGCTCTGCATGATGTGTGTGTGTCCTGCAGGTTTTGGCTCAGAGGGTTTCTGTGTATGAGGGGCTGAGAAGTTTCCTCTGTTTACTGAAACACATCAGGCAGTCAGCAATAGATAGACTGGATGGAGGATTATGACACTAATCTCTCCCTAACAGGACACCTCTCCCCCTCCCCTCCATGCTTCTTAACCATGACTTTGTTTTTTTTCTCTCCATTGGTCTCTCTCTTCCTCTGTTCAAGTGTCTCACTCTGTATGCTTACACCATTCTACCTTTTCCTGTTTTAAATCTGTGAAATATAAATGATGGACTGAATGCATGTTTCTACCGTATATATAACATCTCATGTCAGGAATCCACACAACCTTTTGTTTTCAAATGTTTCATCCCTGATAATAAGTAGTATCCTACCTTGGACGTACAATTAGTTTTATTCCTGACCAAAATGACAAGTTCGCGCAGAAGATTTTTCACAATCGCAGTTTGTTTTCGCAATTTCATATTGCCATGGAATGTGTTGAGCACATCAACAAAACAGTGCTTCCAAGCTGAAAAAAAAAGGTACATGTAATAGTTCAGCCTTTTGTTAATCCTTGAGGCAAGGTTACATGGCATCCATAAAAAACCCACTCAGTAATCAAGCAATTTTAGTATGTATGCTGGCAACTTTAAATATACGTAATGTTTGCATTGTGAACTCCCTATTTAGGAAATTAGGTCAGAATTATAATGTAATATGGAATTGTGACACATCTTCAGTCTTGTTTATTTATACCTCTTTCCTGTCATTCTCTCTTTCCTGGTGTTTTCTTTTCTCTTCTCCGTCCATTTTAAACAGTTTTTATTCCATTTCTGCTCCTGTCATAGCTTCAACTTTCATCTTCTTCCTCCGGTCTTCTATCTTTGTCAGCTTCTTCTCTAGTCAGTTTCCATTTCCTGTCTAATACTCAGTTTAGAGTTTTAATAAAAACACACTTTACTTTCATGGCCATCTAGAGCCAGCCTCATTTAATCATCTCTTCCTTTACCTCACTATGGGGATATAAAACCATTCAGGGAACAATAAACCTGGGATCTAACACAATCAGCTTCAGCCATGATTTTCATAATACTCCACCGGAAAAACTCTTCACTAAGTGATGCCACTGGTGCCTTTATCCTCCTTAAGTATTTAAAGTCGAATGACCTCTATGGGATAATGCTGCTGACATGGTGAAAGTGTTCTAAACTCATTCATTTTCCCCTCCCTTCGTCATTTCAACCACTTCTGGTATAATCTCTTATTCAGCACTCTCTCTTGCTCACTTACCGCTCATGTAGAACACGCTCACAGACACCTCTGAATAAGACTAACTCTTCTGACTCTCTTGGTAGATCTGTTTCAGCCCCCAGGGCACCAGGGTCCTGACTGCCAGCTCAGACAAGACAGCTCGTCTGTGGGATGTTCTGTCTGGAGCCTGCCTACAAGTTCTGGAGGGGCACACCGACGAGATCTTCTCCTGTGTCTTCAACTATGAGGGTGACACTATCATTACAGGTATACACTGTGTACACACACACACACACACACACCAGATCTGACAGCCACACATACATCTGATAACCACGCACTGTTAAAACGAAGCCCTGAGCAGCTCCTCGATGGCCGTCACAAATGCTTAATTGCACATTTTAGATGAAAAGAGTGCAGCTGTACCCTTCTGTGTAGCCACCTGTTTGTCTGTGCTCTCCTGCAGGCAGCAAGGATAACACATGCCGGATCTGGTACTGACCCTTCCCTTCACCACGTAGTGGCTCAGGCAGACTATACATGAACACAACGATCAATTTGCATTGCCCAGGTATGGGCCTATAAAAAAAATCTGCAGTCACGTTGAGGTAATAGTCTGGTGAGGTTAAAGGGGATAACAAATCATCATCACTTGGTTATATACTGTTTCCCTAATGATCCTCCTGTTACTGAATCGGTTTGAAGCTCTGCTTGTTCCCTGACTCTACTTACTTCATACTGTGGCTTGACCAGTAGACCTAGCTTTTTGCTGACCTGTTTGGTAACTCTCAAGTAATTTGAATTCTTCAACCACATTTCTGGAATAGCTTCACATTTTGGGACATAGGCTTTCTTGCTGCGCATATTACGAGAACATTGATTGACATCACTGACTTTAACGTCTGTGCATCAATTTTAGACCTTAAGCAAGGAGCCAATTAGCTTAGCTTAGCATAAAGACTGGAAGAAGCGGGCCACAGCTAACCTGGCACTGTCCAAAGTTATTAACACACTTCACAGTTACAGAACTTAAGGCTGCAAAACCAACAACTGTTTTTACATTTCTGCTTGTGTCAGTGGCTCTTTCCCCCTGCCTAGTTAGTAGTTGCTATGCTAGGCTCAAATAGCAGCTGCAAACATCCTTTTTGACACGAGAACAGTTGGAAAAGACAGTGAGCAAGTAAGCATATTTCCCAAAATGCCAGACTAGTTCTTTGACGGTTATTGGTAAAATACTATGTGAACCTGATTTGTGAAGATAACGGTTTCTAAATGTGCGCTAGACTCTGCTGTACATTCAGTACATGCTGCATCCACTGAAACCTTTGTATTTAATCATATACATACCTGAGCATTATTGTAAATGTTTGCCTATTCCATCTTCACAAGCCCATTATCAGCTAACATAGGTAATGTGATGTTTTTGTTCCCACTGCCTTGTATGTTTCTGTGATGTGTACTAAGCAGTATTATCTGAAAGCACAATACATAATGATGAATGTTTATTCAGTAGCTTCCTAGCTGGTATTCAAATGTGACAAACCTCCCCAAAGATCATATAGCTGTGGTTTTACAGTCTCACTTACATGCGCTTTTGAGAGAACCAGGTAATACTGATGAGGATAAATGTGCTACTAAACAGTATTCAGTTGTTTTTCTGCTGAATGTTCTGAATGATCAAGACTGCTTGTATTTCACATCACAGAAATTTATTGATGTCAAAAGATAAATACATTCAGTTCTACCGTGACAGAGTTTACAGCTGAATCGTGTGCTTTTTCCCCAATGCTGATGTATCACTAGAGTACTACTATGTAGAGAAATCAACAGACCAAATTCACATACAAATTCAACATTACAAACCTTACTCTGTCCTCCTGACATAGTAAAAGCTAAAGAGAGCAGTCCACTACTCCAAGGTGCAGCAGTTCCAAATCTACAGTATATACAGTACAGCTATCCAAAATAATCAGTTCTCAAGTAACATTAACAAGATAACACACTTACTTTGAACTGAATTTCAAGGTCACAACAGAGGTGGTATGTTGGCAAATGAACACAACAAATATATGGGCATTTTGCTTACTTTAAGCAAATGTGCACTTCTAAGTGGCTGTCATAAGAAAGTGAAAGAGCTTTTTCTGGGCTTACAATTCCTCACTTAGCCTCTTTTACAAAGTAATCTTGATACAAAAGGTTTGAGCATGTTGAGTTGTGGGGAGAATTTAACCTGATTTTCCTATCTTCTGTTGGTACTTTGCTTCATGTGTGTTCATTTGGAATAAATAAATAAATAAACACATAATTTGGTTGTGAGAATCTGTAAATATATATATTTATATATAATCTGGAGCAGTTAAAACCTGCTGACTATAATCTCTTGAAGGCTAGTTCATTCCCATCAGGAATGTCCAACCCGTACACCTACAGTTTGCTCTGTGTTTGTGTGTGTCTCACTAGAGAGGTGAATCTGAAAACAAAAGCATGCTTTTATTAAAGGGAGACTTGTCCGTTCATGGTTTGCGAACAGACAAAAAGACAGAGTTTCCATGGACAGATTGAAGTTTATGAATTTCTCAAGTATGCTAATTCGCGTTGGTGCTTACAGCCTGCAGTAGGAGACACTTGGTGTGATGAGACAGGAAGGGGCAAACAGCTGGGAACATGTTAGAAGTGTGAGTGAATGAGTGAGCGTATGGGTTTTTTGTTTGCAGTATGAGGAAGCTAGTCCGCCCTACAGGGTTTCCAACAGCCAATCAAACAGGCTGGACAGAGACCGGCCCTCTTCTTCCTCTTTCTCGTGTAGCTTACAGAACTGAACGACAGCGCTGAACAAGTCTGCAATCCGCCACGCCTTCTGAGACATCAGATGGACCACCCTCTGGAACTGCAAGAAGACACACGTAATGAATCCAACAAGAATCGATACAATACATGGTCAGCACTTTACAGCATTTTACAGTATAGTTTAATTGTAACTTTTTTAAATGTAAAATAGATTCCCAATATATAACAGTTCTCCCACAGTGGCTACCACTGAAGACACTGAAGTCCTCTGTATTGTTTCTGGAATTTGCACATTTTAGCAACAAGGGGGCAGAAATGTAGAAAATACCTACATATGGTGAGAAATACATCATAGAAAGACCGCTGCTAAAATATATTTAAATCACAACACTTTTAGGCCAACAATAATAAATATAATAATAAATAAATACATAAAGAATTTAATTATTTTCAGCATCAGCATCAGTGTCTAAAACAAGGTTCTAATAATCAAATAAAAACTACAATCAGCAGAATTTGAGTGAAAACTGAGTCCCCCATGCTTTTATGTTTGTTGATTTGACAGCTATGTCTACCTTTGCGAGCCTCTTTTCTTTGGACTTCCTGAAGTAGAGGGCAGGTAGGCCCAGCTCTGAGGCAGCAATCCACTGCAGGGCCACTCTCAGCTCAGAGTCTACGCACTCAGGCTCAAGATCGCAGTTTACCACCAACAGCACCCTGAGGTTGCTACTGCTGCCAGCTGTCCTCACAGAGTTGGTCTCTGAGAAAGATGACAGGGCATATTATAGCAGGAGGGCATCCCAATATTACACACCTTGAATGTTAACTATGTTGTCCTCATATCAAAGCGCTGTAAGACTGCACAAACAATACATTCTTTTCTATACTTGGACATCAAAAGCCATCATGCCAAACCTCTGCATGCAATCATACAACGTGTTTCATAAATAGAAATATTCTGGGCTCAGTTTTGCTTTGAGATAATCTTGGTTGGAGTCATTAAACAAAGATGAACTTTGCGTGGATACACTTCTGGATCTATGGGCCCTTTTCAATTATTGATGATCATCCTTACTTCAGAGAGGAGAATTTTATTCAAGCACATGCATTTGAGAGATTAATCACACAGACCCAGCACATACTGTACCTCGGGTCACTCAAGAGCTCTCGGTGAGTAGAGAGATGTTAAAGCTGACAACAGTGGTGAATAATTAAGAAGTTGATAACATTGAGATGACATGAGAATCCATCACTACACTTACCAAAGACATTCTCCTTGGTTCCTGCCAGATGGCCTTTCTCTGTTTCCTCGCTGAGGAAAAGAATATACCAATTCAAAGTTACGGCAATATACAGTATCACTTCAAGAGCTAGTTCCATATTTTGGGAGATACACTTATTTCTTGGCAAGGAGTCCAAGAGTTAGATGAGAAAATCAATACAACTCTTATGTCTGGACGGTAAATATGAAACAATTGGCCAAAGCTGGTTAGCTTAGCTTAGCATACAGGCTGGCAAATGAAGGTAACTACTAGCCTGAGTCTGTCTGAAGGTAATAAAACCTGCCTACCAGGGCCTCAAACGCTCACTTATTAACAAGATATGTCTTGTTTGTGTAATCAGTTGAAAAACCAAAACGTAAAAATTACACATTGTGGGGAGTTTTGTGCCTGACTACTTCATCTAACTTGTCACAAAAAGGAAATAAGCGCATTTCAAGTGTCTATTACTATTTTCTATTCCTTTTATTTAAAGGTATATTACACTGTTAATCTGAATGTGTTTTGAACTTTACAGTTGAGATAGCTATAGAGACATAGAGAATAAAAGAAATGCAGCAGACTGGAAAGGCTTTTATGTCTATTAAACAGAACATTATTGTCTGTGCTAGAATGACAAAGGAATACGCAATTAGCTATAATCTGTCATTTGCATGAGTGTTAGTCTGGTAGCCTGTCAGAGTCACATGTCACCATGTCACGATTGCTACGCTCTGGGTGAGAAAATGAGAAAAAGCAATATACTATGTGGAGAGCTTCTGTTGTGTTAGTAAAAAAAATGTCATTATGGGCATCAGAGTGACACATTAATGAGAAATATTTCAGCAACGGCGTGTGACACTGACAGTTACCTGATTACTGTGCTCTGAGTGGGCACATCAGAAAAAGCATCCAGGTCTGCCAGGCCTAGGCTGGATGCGCTGCTGGTCCCGTTCCTGTTAACCAATAAAAACGAGAGATAGCGTCATCCGTACGTTGTCTCAAGACATCCTACATGATCGCTGACTTGTGAAGAGAACAATAACCAGGCGCAGCGATGCAGGTCATGTTGTTCATTAGCTGGTGATTAACATATAAATAGCAGCTGCAGCAGGATCGGATGCTCAAGGTGGGAGAGCTGGTGATTTTGGTCCAGCAGCAAGCCTGTCTGAATATGAAGATGAGGAGATTTGGAGGTAGTTTAGGCAAGTAGGGTGGACAGGCAGGGCTAGAAGCCATGCCCTTGTGTCACAACATGGATCAGGGAATGAGGTGGAGTTAAAGTAAGCAGGTAGATGGAGAGGTTGCAAGGAGCAGCGAGTGTTATGGTGGTGCAGTTCACTTGTAGTTAATTAAGCAAAAAGCAAGTATCCTATATCATTGCCAGTCTGAACATATGGAGCCTTCCATCTCTCTAAGTAAATGCATTTAGATATGCAGTTTATAATGTTTACTTTAGTGTTTGTAACATCATTTGGTCCATAAACACAGCATACAAGTCCTTTTTAAGGCAAAGTGAAAGCAGGGCATTTCTACTGTGAGCTTATTTCAACGAGCAAGCACAGAGCAGTGACTCCAGGCTATTTGGTAAAAGTTGAAAACGGTGTGGTTGGCTAAAAGGAATGAGAATTTGATGAAGCAGAGAATGGGGTAGCAAATGTTCTGAACTAGAGGCTTTTGATGTGAGAGGTCACAGCGCTGTGCCGCTGCAGCCTACTACTGCAGGTAGTTGTGCGTGGGGTGCAGGCAGGATCTAGCCCTGTATGCGAGCTATGGAGAGGGCTTTGTGGAGCGAGCTCTCTGCCATATACTGCCTTAGCAGGCGTGGATATTGCAGCAGCAAGAAGTAAATTGGCATTGGCACAGGAGAGCACAAGTGTCAGTAGCAATGGGCCAATGGGAGTGGGGTGAGGGTGGGAGTAGCATTTGGAGCGGTATCAAGGAGCAACGGTTACTGACCCCTCGCTCAGCTGGATAAAACTACTGGTCTCCTCGTGGGGGTCATCCTCGGGGGTTATATGGGACCAGCTCCCCATGCTCTCTTCACTGCTAGCACTCATAGAACGCTTGTCCCTCTTCACTACTGCAGCCACCGCCACAGCTGGCCTGTCCCTCTCACTGCTGGGGAGAGCAAACCGCAAGATGGTGGGAATGACCCACGACTAGTTGTGCACAATGTCTGCTGCAATGTGTGGTTATTTTGGCTGTTTTCCCAGAGTTGTTCCCATGTTCCTCTGTTCACTAATAATGTAAACATTTAGTTTCATTAAAACTACAATGCATTTTAAAAGACAGTTATCTGACAGTGAATGCTCTAAAAAATTTAAATCTACAGTAATTCTACAAATGACAAGCTATTTGAGACTTGAAATAACTATGCGCCACATAAACAGAAAGCTAATTCCTTTCAATATCTTTAATGCATCAGCAAACTGCATTCCTCAGGGGCACTGTTAGATTTTTAGTGTTTTTCAGGAAAACTGATTAAATTAAGTCATAATCAGATGATTGAGGCCTGCCATCCTCTACAATTCCATAGGGAAATCAGGTTTTATTGACGAGGCGAGTGATTGAGTTCCACTCTTACACAAGGGAAAAACAGATGCACTCCACTCGTTCCGGGTTGCATGTTCTGTCAAGTGAAAAGGAGCGTGTATTGTGCCTCTCCTGTGGCCCGGGAGCCTTTCAGCTGTTTACTTCTCATTCACTATCGAACTTAGTCTTAATCTGAGCATCTAAATTTTTCAGTAAAAGACAAACAGACCACAACTGATCCTCCACATCTGGATATTATATTTTCACTTAGCTCTACATATCCCTCTCTTGCACATTATCAGCTCTTTCCACTTTACATTTTCACAAGGTTCATTTGACTCCACACTGAGACAAACTATGAACAGCTCCCGTGTTCATTACCCCCAGAATATCCACTAAAATGTCTTCTGGGAGAGTTTACGCTCTACTGCCTTCTCTGAAAGGCCCCTCAGACACTTGAATCTTGCCACCTTGCTGTGTTCTAGTCTTTCTAAAATGTCAATGTGGTTCGAATAAGACATGTAAGACTGACCATGTCTAATACTCTAATAATCAGAAGGACTACATACCCTTATTACAAATGAATTGATCTTATATAAACACCATTCAAGAGCTAACCTGCTGCCAAGCACCTTCTCTCAAGCAAGCTTCAATCTAATGTCATATTATTATTTGTGTCAATATAATCTAAATACCTATGAGTGTCTTGTGGTTTTAGTGTGTTAGCCAAGTGTGCAGCTTGTACTGATCAAGGTGAGTTGAACATCCCCGCAGTGGATAAAAGATGAAGCCACTAAAAGCTTTCTGCACACACAGTACATCACCCAGACAGTGTAAGTCAGAGCCTAGCCAAAGGTTTGTCAAACCTCACACACTGCTAAAATAAATTAGTTTTCCCAGCGAATCCTGTGCCTGCCATTGCCTTTGATCAAACTAAAGTAAAAAATAGCGTTGGTATGCTTGGACAGTTGTAGGGCTGGGATTTCATTTGTTTAGGGCTGATTTTCTTTGACAGTGTTTATAGTTTACCCTGCAAAAACCAGAAAGATTCTTAATCTCTCACTCTCACTCTTGTCAGACAGATTCATCTCTACTTTTCTTATCTACAGTATCATGATTCTGCTGCTGGGCTTTAAAAAAACTTTCTGCCTGAAGGGGGTTAGGGTGACTTATACACAGAAGGCCTGTGAGCAGTGCTAATACCTGCTGCCGTTGGCTGTAGCCCTCTCTGTACGTTTGATAGCTGATACGTCTGTGGGTGTTTCCTGAGGTCCTCCTCCTGTCCTTTCAGGGTTTAAAGGAGTCTCTTCATCCCTCTGATCTCCCTCAATATGGATCAGTGGTACATCTCTGGGGCTTCTCATGCGGGGTGCACTGCTGTCACTAGACACAGACCCTATGCCAGTACAAGTTTGCTCCTGGCTGGACCTACTTCGACCACAGCTTAGATGAGATTGTTTGAACCCCCTCCTCCTTTCACCAACAGGCATGTGCGGCTGTGGGAGTGACCCAGTTGTGCCCCCAGCTACATCTTGTTGGCCTCCCAGTGCAGACTTGCCAATATCTACAATGTCAGCTGCCAGGCGATTGGCAAACTGCTGCACATGGGGCTGGTAGTCCCCTCCAGCCTCCAGCTCAATACTGTCCTCTGGATCAGCAATGATCTTGTTCTTTCTCATCAAAGACTCAATTGAGCTCGACCAGGTCTCATGAATCAGCATATCAGTAATCTGGTCAGTCTTACCCCTTTGATAGAGGCAGGAGTCTGACTTACACAGTCCCGTAGCTGACACTGAGTTAGTGGGAAAGATATTCAGTGTATCTCCATGAACATTACGGGCGAATCCGTCAAAAGAGTTGGCTTTAATGGGTGAGTTGACAGTCAGTCGCGAGTCTGAGGAACGGCGGTCTGGGACAGAGGACTGTCGTATACAGAAGGGTGTTCTAGGAGAAGGGGGGAACAAGCTGTTGCTCCACTCTTTAGTCTTGGCAATGCCATACTCTTTGTTTTCCTTATCCATGTCCCGAAGCATAAACCTATAGAACTCCTCTGTGATGCTCTCTGTACTAGACTGTTTGGATAGACAAGATGAGGTCCTGACATTAAGGTGACCATTTTTCTTTGATGCAGCCTGTTGCACAGCTGCAGCCAGGATGCTGCTGGCATTTTTTCCTGCGTAGTAGTCTAGCAGAAGGTCAAAGCCCCTGCCCTCAGTCTCCATCTGGTTTACCATGAACCGTGAGAATTCATCTGTGATGCTCTCACAGCTGGACTGCTTAGAAATTGAGCTACCACGACTCAGGTTCTGACCTAACCGACTGCCGGGCCCCAGGGTGTTGGGTGTGCCTGAAGGGTCTGCATCTTCTTCTGGAATGCTCTCATAACTAGATGCCTTTCCACGACTCCACCTCTCACACTGCAACCTGCTGCGTGGCTGGCCTGGTTTGGAGGTATCCACCACATTAAGCTCAGGGCAGTTCATGATCCTGGCTGTGACTTCAGAGGCAAAGAGGGCAAACGGGTCCTGTGGTTCATCAGGGTTGACTGATTCGTCCACCACCCGGTTCACCAGCCGCTCCATCAGTTCTGGTTGCTCCTCCGTTTTCCTCTTAATCTCACTGAGGCGTGGTGCCCGATGTTTCTTGGAGGCAGCATTGGTGCTCTGACCCTCTTTCCTCCTGAGGACTGTGCGGCAAGCAGGAATCAAGTAAGCTTCTGGCCCTTCGGTAGACATCCCTTTTAGCGCACAGAACCAAGGTTGTTTCCCAGTGGAGTTCTCCAGGCAGATGGCTGCTAGTTCTGTGGCCATGGACACCACTGTAGCAGCCAAATCATCAGCATAGCAAGTAATAGGTGTTCTGGACTCTGAGTCCATTCTTAAATAGAGCAGAGAACTGCAAGAGTTCAGGGAAGACTGGGGTGTGAGGGAGGCCTGTCTGCTGTCACTGCCTGTAACTAGTCGTCCCCTCTTCTCTGTACTATAAATTGGGATTTCACTCCAAGGTTCTCTGATGGCGCCGCTGCTCTGCTGGATCTGCTGGTGGTCAGAGAAGTCCTTGGCAGGCAAGGAGGTGGATTTAGAGTGGCTTTGTCTGCATGATGACTGCTGTTGCTCTTTGCTGTGTGCTATGGAGGAAGATGCAATGAGATCACTTTCCTCAAGCACATATTTCTCCTTCAGCCCAGGAGCCATGGTAAGCTTATCTGTGCAGTGTGGCATGCCGCTGTGGTTCTCACTATTAGCGTATTGGCTGTGGCCAACTAAGCACTGTAATTGACTTAATGGATCCTTGCTCTCCTTGGTGGTAGCAGGCTCCATAGCACAAGTATCACCCTCTTGTGTTTCAAATGACCCTTGGTCACATCCAGAGACGTGACTGATTTTCTTCTGTGTCAGGCAAAGGATATCAAACAGCAAATTGTTTACACTGTCCTGTAGAAAAACCTGGAGATTTGGTGCATCCTTTCCAGTTCCCTCCAGTTCTCTTTTCTTTTTTGCTTTTTCTAAAGCATGCTTGAATAGGCTGTCTGCCACCTCATTTATTAATTCATCCATCTCTCTTTCATCCATGTAGGATTTTTTTGGACAAGTAATGCCATCTACTATCTTGTTATGTGTGGCCTCCAGCAGGTGGGCTACACTCCTGTAGCCTTGTGGCTGAGTCAGCACCTCAGCTGCTTCCCTGTGTAGGACCTCAGCAATGTTGGCACGAAACGCTTCAACGCTGGTACCCTCTGCCACACTGCAGTGCAGCGTGAAGGCTGTGGAGGCCTCAGCAGCAGACATCAGACCACGGGATGCTGTGAAGGCTTCAGTGGAATCTGCATCAGAATCGCCGCACTCCCCCGCCTCCTCTGTTAGCTCCACAGCTGCTACAGCACCAGCTACCTGAGCCATGCCACACATGGCTGAGGAAAAGGAGTAGTCACCTCTCTCCTCTGCCTCCTGCAGCTCCTCCTCTGTTTCTTCCTCTGAAGCTGATTCCATGGCAATCTGTTCTGTCAGCTGTGGGGCAGTAATGGTGCCAATGACACTGGCAGCACAGGCCAAAGCCACCTCTACATGTTTGGATGGGTGTCCTCCATTGTGATGGGGAATGTGGGCCTGTGTCCCATTCTCTGGCATATCTCTGGCTTTGGCATTGATATCCTGGTCAGGCACATGAGACACCTGGGTCTCGGGCCATTCTACTGCTCCGTCAGAACTGTCTGGGCTTTGAACTATAACAATCTTGGGGAGTTCAAAAGAGCAGGTGCGCTGTTGGGAAGGCTCTCTGGTCTTTGAATGACCAGTGGAGTTAGAAGGATGGCTAGAGAGGGACACACTCACAGCTGCCTCAGAGACAAAGGTGGTTTCATCTTGAGAGAGGCGTATGAAGGCATCTTGCAGTACTGACTCAGCCAGATTGGTGGCGTAGTGACCAGCTGATTGCTTAGTGTGGAGGTTTGCTGGCTGATGGCCGTCCCTTGTCACCTCAGCATCCTCCCTGTTCTGATGATGGGCCAGCTGTCCCCTCTGACATGCAAGTCTGACACAGTGTTTCTGTGCAACCTCTACCAAGCTCTCTGCCAAGTCACCACTCTCTGGTTCTGTGAAGAGACAGGGAAAAACAGAGAAAGACAGAGAATGAAAAATGTCCACACTGATTAGAAAGCAGCTCTATCAGTTTCCAAAGTGTCACAACAAGCGTAGAATATTACCCTGTTTACTCCTCACTGAATATTGGAGCTTGTTTATGTCTTGTTTGTCCCATTCAATTTCCCCCTGGACAAAATTCCAAGAATTATTTCCATTTAACACATTTCATTCGTCATTGGGGTAACACAGTGGCAATAATTATATACTTCTCTCTTGTGTTATACATTCTCAGGAAGTATAGAAATGTTTCAGTGCTTGCTACACAGCTGCCTCTGTAATTTATCTGCAAAACCAGGAGGAAATATAGGGTTTAGTTGTACTCAATATGCTGTATGCTTGTTTTCTTTTTATCTGATATCTGTTCAAATATGACTAGAGTCAAATTTACATGTGTTCCAGTATGATAGAAATAATGTCAGAATAGTTCACATATTCTGTCCACACTGTCCACAGGGTATTTCAATGAATCTTACTTCGCAATTAAAGTATTTAGCTGGGTTTTAAATGTATTCAGTAACTATATGAGATAAGAAGTGTAGTAGGATTACCATCACTTAAGGAGGAGGAAGGAACTGAACAAAGTTTTATACACATAGATGCAGATCATGGTGGTTGCACTCGATGGACTTGCCTTAAAACCACCATTAACCTTCTATCTATGCTTCTGTCTGTTTCCTTATTGCTCAAGAAGGGTGCTATCACATAAAAATGTGTTTTGGAACATCCACTTCATGCTGCATAGTATGTGGTTAAAATTTTCTCTAAGGTTTTGAATGGACAGCATGCTGACTCAAGCTGTGAGTAAATGCAAATGTATCACAGGAACACTGTGAGGCTGTTCAGGCTGTATAGTGCCATGTTTACATGGGCAGATGTGGGATGAAATCTTTAACCCTGTGTTACTGCACACTGGGTCATAAAAAGGACAGACTGGGCTTACAGCAAGTATGATTAATTCAATGACAGATTAAATCCACATTTATATGAATGCTTAGCATGCATAAATGCATACAAAACTCAATGCATAAATGTCCCATTTTTTCTTGGAACTATGACGAACGACAACATAAGTAGGAATTTATCCAGATTAACTATCATAACTTTTGAAAATTAAAAATCTGGGTCTTAATGTCATCAAAACACACAGTGATAAACAATCGTGTGATACATTTGTTATTTTCTTTTTGAATAAGTGCAATGGTTCAAGAGAAAATAGCCAAGATATTCAACAATACAAAAATACTGAGAAACCAAATTCGATCAACACTAAAAACAAATAACTTGTTCATTGGCCTTACTTTCCACTGGCTTTCATCCAACCCTGCTTAAAGCTTTTTGAGATATCCTTCCAACTAACACACAAACAAGGACCAAACCAAAACTTCTATAGTGGAGGTAAAGAGGCTTACCATTTCTGAAGCCATCATCCTCACTGTCATCCCCAAGGTGTTCTGAAGCAGTCAGGAAGTCTTCTTCTATGGACGAGATGGAGCGATTGGTGTCGTCATCGACCCGTTGCCCTGCTGCACGGCCCTGCTGGAGCTGTCGCTCCTTTCCCCACTGCAGACCAATCAGGAACTTGTTGATATCGAAGATGATGCTGCTTGGTTGGGTGGAGCGTCTCTGCCCTGAACACTGAACCAGGCACACACCTGTACCTCTCTGCTGCTGCCCGCCCTGCATGGAACATGTACAGATACCTATTATACATGCACATACAGAGATACATAAACATGCCCACATCATGTATATACAAAGTTCTACATGCATACATGCACATACTGAAACCACACAAAGGTATACGCCAATCATGCGTAAACACACAGTGGACAACACATACACTGAGCCACACATTTTGAGATAGAATATTATAAACTTCAGACTCAGTGAGTTTTTGTAGCTCTAATACATGTTTTTCTTGCTTTAATTCAATATACTATTAACTCACTGGACCTGTTCATGCAAGTTTAATTGTCTGTGTAGGCTCCTCAGGCTGTGTATTGATTTGAACAGTGGTTCATACAGTGATGTATTTGGCGGGTCAATGGCTGTAAGGAAACATCATATTTAAAGATAAATACAAATAAAAGCAGAAAGAGAAACTTGTTAGCTGGTATAGTTTGTGCGTTCAAAGTATTCTGAAACAAGAACAAGAAGTCCATTGATCTTTACCTGCAAGTGTTATTGTCTGTACATTTCTGTCTAACAGCACTTCTATGCCTCAGGAGATGAGTAAATGTTTTTATTGGAGTGAAAGAGAGAATTACTAGATTAAATGAATGCACTATCTCTCTTGTGGATTTTTCCGAGCTCGAAAGGTTCAAATCTAATCACACAAAATTGTGGTACAAAGGAACAGCTTGCACTCTCTGACTCGCACTCTAGGCCAGTTAATTCAAAGGCTGAACATACTTGCAAGGATTTGAAGACATCGCTGCTTACTCACCTGAGAGGGGGAGTGTGGGTGTGTTTGGCAAGTGTCTGAGGCTCCTAGGCCACCGAGCAGTAGGATCTCATTTTCTTTCGGCTGGTGGACAGTCAGTAATTCAACAAGCTTTGGCAGGTCTGGAGACACCGATGCCAGTTTCTGCAGGAGACATGCAGACACAATGGTAGATGATAAAAAAATTTCAAGCAACTTCAAAACTGAGCATGTGTTCGCTGTGGTTAAAACTTAAAGACACATAATTATAAAAAACGTTCCTGCGAGAAGTCTTAAGCCCTGTGGAATGATTATTGATCGCCCACCGCTGCCACCACCAGCTGCAGAACGCTGCAAAATCTGCATATTATCTAAACAAATCAACCCTCTAATTCTGGGTAATGATTTTGAATCCATGGCAACTGAGCCAGTGTTTTTATGTGAAATACAATGAACAGAGTTCCTGGGAGATGAAAAGTGGGCGGGAAGAAAAAAGGGGCTCACGCAGGAGGCAAAGAATGAGTGTAGATGAGGATTTTGCTCACCTTGATGCTTCTCTCATCACGGCAGTCCGTTTTCTGAGGATCCAAATTTACAAAACAGATCTGAGAGAGACAAAAAGAGAAAGTCAAAACATTAGAGTGACAGTGTGACTGGGAAAATTTTACCACAAAAGCTGAGAAGGAGTAGAGTACAAGTGTCCCAGATGTCAGATGTGAGAGTGCTGTTAATGGCAAAATTACTACATTGCCTTTCCCACTGCCATTTCTTTGTCACAAATCCTACAAACCAGACAGGAGGATGGGGTTTCTCTAAGTGCCCCACCATTTAAAAACTAGCTGTCTGTCGTGTCTGAGTAACCACTGTAAGGCACTGTCTCTCACCGGCAGAGCCCTTTCTAAGAAGACCTTGTCTCTCAGGGGCTGTTAGCAGCAAGTGTAAATCAGCAATCATTTTCTTTCCGTCTCTCTCTCTTTCTTTCCGCTTTTCTTTTCCTCTGTCTCCACTCATTCACTGCGCTTCTGTCACACTCTCTGCCTCCTCCTCTTCCCATCTCACCCACCTTCGCCTCTGGCTGCAGGTTTAATGGTGTGTGATGGAGTCCTCGTGTCAGTGCTGGGAGTCTGGGACAGTCTGACGGCTGCTGTTTGAATCTCCAGCACACAGCCTCTGATCTAAGTTGGCATGGCCAAGTTAGTCCTGTGTGGCTAAATGGATAAAGCACGTCACCAACCGCATGTGTATGTGCAGAGCACTGTGAGGCGCTTTTTGAGAAGTGACAGTGTCTGTCTCAGTCACAAACACATACATTTCTATATATGTCTAAATGTTACAGCGCTTGTCACTACTAATCAAACCCAGTCTTAATATGAGTCACTGAGGCAGTCTCGATCTTTTTTAATGCAAAACACGCACAGGTGGGAGCCTGCTGGCTCTCTTTTACCTCTGCCATCTCCACATCAGCTCTGCCTGCTGCTACCTTGCCCACTTTCTCTCCTCCCTAGACTATGCAAAAAATATATATAGTTTCAAATAATCACATCTTGACACACATCACGGTTTGAAATAATTTCTCTTGAACTGTCTGAGGTGTGTGATTCGTTTTGCTAGGCATCCAAACAGCCTCAGCGCTCTGAGACAGCATATATTTTCCATGATTTTCATCTTCTTTCCATTTATCTGTCTTGTATTCAATGGGAGATATTCCCAGAAAGTCAAGTCAATAGTATAGAATCCAGCAAAATTATCATGTCATGATCAAAATCATGTCATGTTGTCAAGTGAAGCAAAAATTGTTGCAATAAATATGTCAACATAGTAATGCGTTTATATTGGATGCATAAATAAGGTTCTGATTCTACTACACTGTGTATATAGTATGGGTTTGCTTCATCAAAGTAAAAGCTAATACTAAGAAGGAACATTTCCAGGGAACAACAAAAACTGTCTGCAAAGCCAGATCAGATGAGCCAAAATGTCCTTCAGATGAAGCGGTAATGCGACACATTCAGAACAGGCCAATTTCCCCCCTCACCTCCAATCTGGTATCCTCCAGTCAAACATAATATTTTCCAAACTATTAAATCTAATGTGATGAAAATTGCAGCTTGAAAATGGAGTCAGTCAAGTATAAAAAATGTGAAGTCAATGACAGCTGACGATGAGAGAATATTTGAAAAGGTTTTCCTTTGTTGCCCTGATCAAGCCAAGCATGTGTGGTCCTTTTCTTTCCTCTGCCCTTCATGGACTGCGTGTGTCACCTATAACGTTTATCTGAATACCAAGAGGTTTGCTCCTTTGTTAACTTTCCCTCAAAATAACAGTAATCTACTCACTGAGGGGTTTGTTCATTTGCTTGTCTGTTGTTCAGATCAGTTGAGTGAGAGTGAGTGTGAGAAGCACCATTTTGTCATAGCTTTTAAATGTCAGTGACATACATACAGGACCTGAGATTAGCCATCTCATTTACTGAAACCAAAGATAATAGCTTGATTTTGCCACCTTCTGACCCTCGTTTCATAAGAATATGCCCTTTATATTCTGTTTTTAGTAATTCTGCAGAGTACTTAAACACTATTGTTTTTGTTGCAGATAATATGCATGGGTATGCAGATATGTGCCCTTTATGGAAGTGTGAATGTGCTATATGAACAAAGAACCACCTCTTGGCTTTTCCTCTACATAATATTATAATAATTAAATGCATGAACAAGCAATAGCCTACCGAGTTGTAATTTGGTATCTAACTCCATTTTCAACTTCTACACATACCACAACATGTATATAAGAGGTTTGGTGTCCTTGCTCAGGAGCTCCTCGGCAGTATTCACTTGTACTGATATTGGAAATCATCCCAGAAAAGCAGCGACAACACCATCCCCTGCCTGCCATCACATCGCCTGCGGATAAAATACAGTTTGAGGAAAAGTGAGGCGAGTGATCCGCGATTTTGACCTTGAGAAGGGTTAAGGCAATTTAACCCCATCAGATGGTGAGAGCCAAGAGGCAGTTGTTCTAAATTTGGGAAGCAGAGAACCATCTAGTCATCTCTGTGTCCATGTGTGAGACGAGCCCAGGGACACGCTCTGATTCTATCAGTTTTTCACAGACACACTGGACGACACAGGCTTGCGTCAGCCTGTCTCTGAAGGACTGACCACGTAAACAACAGTTGAGCAATATAAAGACGGAGAGAGGGAATTAAATAGAGGGACAGGGAGGGTGAAAGTAATGGTTTGATGTGTGGATGGAAGCTTATCGTGATACACTTGAATAAGGACTTGAATAGTGCTCCGGATGAGAGAGATAGTCGGAACTGGTTTTCTTCCTTTTGCAATTTGTTTTTGGTTTAGACAACTAAACATATTTTTTTTGGCAACATGGGGGCAGCAGAGACAAGGTTTAAACACAACACTGATATATAACCTTTTAAGTTAATATGACAAACTTGTTGTCAAACATTTAACACATCCGGAAGATACAGAGCATATTCAAATTCATCATGTTTCTGGCCACCTGACGGATCTAACCAATATTTACTTTACTTTTTTTTTGTCTTTGGTTTGGTTTAGTTGCTAAATTCTCCACTATGTTCACCAACTAGTTGCTAACTTAGCTGTCTAGTGCTGAACAGGTAGCATGTGGTTGTTTTTTAGAGCTTTACTGCCAAAACACCTGGAAACGACACTATAAGACCGGTGAGTGTGAACGAAAATAGTAATGTTGCCCAGACATGAACTAAAAGATGTTATGAACCTGGGTGGAGCTGAGTCGTGGGTTTATCACTACAAGCAACCCCTTTCACATAAACATGATCATGTGATTCACTGTATGAAAGTGTTGATTGTACCTACATTAAGGTTAGGAAATGTTTTTGGTCAGGGTTAAAAGAAAACACCACATCCATCCAACCACAGCCTCACTATAACTTTCCACAGCAGTACAAGATCATGATACATTGTTAATCTGTTTGAAGCCAATTATCAGTAGAATGAAGCATCTAGGTTGCAGCACAGATCTCGGTGTCTCTCCACATTTTCTTGCTTCACTAGGTGCTCAGCCCCATGTAAATCTACAGCTGTGCTCAACATCAGCCCAGCCAACCAAAGTGAAACTCAGGGTGACTCTGACCACCTGTGATGGGCTGCTACGACCAAACTGGACAGTAATAACACTTACAGGAGGCAAATCTATAAGCATCCTCAGAGGCAACTGGCAGCAGTGGTATAGAGCATATTTTAGTTTCACCTTCACCAAATGTTAATGATTGAGTCTGAATGTCTGCAAGCTAACTAATGAAGGGCATCTTGACATGTAGGTCCCTTAGTGTTTTTGTTTTCTACACAATAAAATAAGCCCCAGTTCTGTCCTTACAATGTTATTACTGATTTTAATTAAATATGTTCATTCCTGACCAATAGTTTGATCCCACTTCAAGGTCCACTTACTATCTTACATGCTTTCAACCGTATGGATGTGGTTTTCATCAGTAGATGGAGTTTGCTCAGTTGTCACAAAGGCAGATGTGAGCTCACTAGCTGTTGGACTGTTTATCTGATACAGTTGAAAGCTCCAGAAAACTGGAGGTTGAGTTGCAAGTGGTCCTATGGGCATGAATGAAATCGTAAGACGTAACTGAGTCTATCATGTTTATCATGTCTATCTATGACAACTCAGCAATAGCTGAGATAGCAGATATCACTCCTCTATTTTAAGATCGTAGGAAGGCACATTTTGTCTGTAGATAATCTACGATTACTACAAAATTCATGTTAAATGAAGATTAACCATCAACACCTACATTGACCTACATTGTAATCTTTGTGCTTTGTGCTAATTTTCAGAGTTCTTTCTCCCCTATTGTATAATATTTAAAACATGCTTTTGTCAATTCATGTGGTATAATTCTAAACTTGTGAGGTAGCTGGACTCGCAATATCAAAAACAATAATGAGATCATGTGGGAATCAATCTTGCCAGGCATCTGGCTACGTGCCTTTATCTGAACCACAGTGGTTCAGACCAATCGGCATCCTCTGAGGAACTACTGGCAGCTACAGCACGAGCTATGAGCATAGTTTAATGCCAGGTGTGTGTTACAACGTCTGAGAGAAGTGCTCCAAAACAAAGAGTTGCTGCTAGCATCAGTTAGTCTTTTCTCGATGGAAAAGATGCGTTTGCTCTTCTCACACTGACTTCAGTAAGACTATGACTACATTATACGGTTTGTTTGTTCGTGATAGACAGATGGCCTATCCAATCACTTGCCAAGTATTGTTTTGACAGTACCTGCCCTTTTCCAAACTGTTTCCAACAACAACTTTCCAGATACTTCTGTTATTTGATTACTCGCTGTTGAGTGCAGGAATAGTTTCTGTAATTTATTTCAAGGTTATGAATTCTAACACTGTAGACTTAAAAACTGAATGCCAGTATTCTGTCATTTAGCTTCAGGAAACATTATGTCAGCATTATGACATTATGGGTTGGTAGAGTTGATACACATACCAACAGGTAAACTCAGTTACAGTATGTTGGGTTACTGTTGTTGGCACAGTATTTGTTATATATTGTTTACTACAATATTATATGCATAGACGTGGTC